ATTTTTGAAATCTGTAGAAAATCTGTTGAAAACAGATTTTTGGGAAGGGTGCAAAAGAGGAGCAAACAACAAGAGTTCTGCAGTGCATTGCATCATGGGGGTAAAGGGAGAGTTTGAGGGGGGTTTTCATGCCACCGTGACCTGCAGGACGAAACCAGGTCATATGCATATTTCAAGCATGTACTGCAAAAACCACCACGACACGAAGGAAGTATGACTCGCGAGTGCACTTCCTTAATCAGTCTGAAACTTCATATCAGTGACAGGTCATCTCAAACGCTCCCTGCCTTTCCTGCAAAAGCACGGAAGTACGCACGTCAAAAAGAAAAAGAAAAAAGACAGAAAAACATAACACAAAAGCCGCACAGAAACACAAATAACGAAACCTCTATGACGTGTGCAAGGCTGTCACTGGCAGCAACGAGCTGCCACCTGCTGAATCGTCTGCTTTTGGCGGAATGGACATGGTTCAACCCCTGCATTAGTTGCCATGGGTTTCCATTTTCTCCCCCCCACAAAATTATGACGTGAGAGGAGCCCGCATGCTGAGTAACTGCTACAAGGAAGCATGCCGAAAATAGACCGGCCATGTTACAAGCTACAACAACACACTGCCTGTCTGCCTGTGCATGCGTATGAGACAACCTTTTCACCTTTCTCCCAAATGTGACAGCAAAAGGTGACTCTCTGCCAGGCCCTCAGTCTGACACTACAAACGAATGCAAGTGTTGATCGGTGTTGATGCATTTTATGAATTGGCTGCAGCACTTGTTGCTGAGCGAGGGGAGGCAGAGTGAGAGATGCTGATGCGTCGTGTACCTGTCAGACATCCATTACGCTCCTTCGTGTCTGCACCTCCATCCAGAGAAGACAATACATCACTTTGGCTAATGCAGCACAATTTCCTCCTCGAACCACCCCCACCCACCTACCCATCCAACCCCCTACTTGACTTGCCATTAGTGAGAGTGCTTTGCTCTGATTGGAGGATAACTCGGATGCTGAGGGTGAGCCTGTCCACTCGGTCCGAGCAGCACATTTGCCCGTTTGCATCAAATCCAGCACTGTGTGGGTTGTGTGTGTGTGCGCGCACACGAGGTGTGTGTGAATAAGAGCTCGTCTGTCAGCATGGTGACTCCTCCAGGACTGAGCTGAGCTGCAGCCAATCTTTCCAGGAGACAGGGACGTGGGCAGGCATCTGCCAAGACATTTATGAAGCAGTCCGCAGCCTAACAGCACAAGTGGTCTGTGAACTCCACTGATATTTTTTTGTACATTTGGTGCTATCAACGCAGAATGACGAAGTGTTCCTCGCAGAAACTGCAGGGTGATAATTGGGTCGATGTCGCTCGTTAACAGACAGATTACTGTTGTTTTTGTTGCTTTGCGGATAGTATTAGGTTGTTTTTGCACACGTAAGTTATTGCTTCATATGATTAACAAGAATACTGACACACACACACACACACACACACACACACACGGAAAGGCTCATAGAGAAATTAAGCATCATTATGGTTTATTGGGTGACTTCTACAGAATCTCTCTCACCCTAAAGTCTATTCCAACGGTGGCTATAAAGTTGCCTCCCAGAAATGCCCCATCTTTGAAGCGCACCAAGAGGCATGTCTTCCCCACGGCCGAATCTCCCAGCAACATCACCTAGAGCAAACCCACCACCAAAGAAGAAGAAGAGGGGACAACAGGTTACAGCTGATCAAAACAAACAAACAAAACATAACAAAAACCCATTGACACAAAAATAAACCGACAGATGTGCGTTGCATTAAACACACTGCACGAACATTTCACAGCTGGAATCATACAGTTTGACACCCACGACCACGCTGTGCAGTATATCATGTCGGTAAGCTTGTATAATGTAGGCAAATACAGCCACAGTACACTACAGTGTTGACTTAGCCGCCACCAGGATGTGACCAAGTACTGGGGGGGTTAAGATGTGATCAGCCAACTCTGTAATTTTACTCTCGTCATTTTTTAAAAATTTTCTTTCCAGCAGGCACCCCTTTCCAATCAATATAATTACAACAACGGGGGTGCGTAATTGTACAATCAATCCAGCAGCATGAAGGTGAAAATATTACGCATTGCTTACACCGAGTCATGGCTGCTTCAATAAAAGAAAAAGCACGCCATGCAAATGCGCACGGGCTAACAGAGTTGCACTTGAATGCAAGTTTTGCTGCCGTCTCTGTGAGTTGATGGAACAGTGTGAAAAACCTGGGCGGCTCTCATTCAGCAGAAGCTGTGAGGAGCAACAAGTACACCCTCTGCAAACATCTGGGCGGACGAGGATTTAGAGCCTCCTCAAAGAAAGGCTTATTCAGCACCAAACCGGGTGGATGACTTGTCTGCTATGCTGTCATTATGCAAACTGTAAAAAAATAATGACCTGCTAAAAAGGCAGAGCCTTCAGATTGCATTTCTTTTCTCTCTCTCGCTTGTGATCACCAGTGAGCGCTGCACATGTGAAAAGTCAATAGTCGTGTCGCTGCTGCTGAAGGTACACCCAGCTGTCACAGTGCAATAAATGTACACACCTGTTCCAACAGTAGCACCACAAAAAAGGCAAAACAAGCCCCCCCACCACCCCCCGAACACAGACACAACAAGACGGAAATACACACCTTGAAGGCAATATCGTAATACTCGTTAATAGACGCGCATCTCTCCAAGACATATTTTGATGTGCCGTTTTTTGCCTGCTTCTCCGTCAACGATGCCTTTCTCGTGGACATCGCAGTGCCAAGGGAAAGAGCGCAGGCTAAAGAGCCTTCCCCCCTTCCAAAATTAAAAATTAAAAACCCCAAACAGTTCCGATCTCCGAAGGTGTCCAAGAAAACAAAACAAAAAGAAAAAACAGGAAGAAAGACGCGCAAAGAGCCTCCAGCGAGATCTCCGCCAACTCAGTCCCAGTGTCCGCCAACCTCCACCTCTGCTCGCATACTGCGTGTGGCCACGAAAGGATCACCTTCCCAAGTGAAGAAAGGAGGAGAAAAAAAAATCACACCTCAACTCGCGCACTGTGAGAAGACGCGGAAGAAGACGGTCAAAACTTAAACATCAGCTGCAGCGGCGCCATCCAGCAGTCAAGGAGAAGGCAGTGATGACAAGCAGGCGGAAACATTAGTGTGATTGTTCAGAGCAGAGCGGTGCATCGTGGCGTGGGCAGATCATTAACTGAGCAGCTATGCGAGGACGTCGACGGCGGCTCCGCGGACGATGGTGTGTCTGTCACGCTGACATTGGAGCCGCGGGGGTCAGACGCGCTGACGGCTGACTCATCTGCCACAGGTGGTGGTGCTCGATCGAGAGGATCCCCCCC